GTTGGCCAGGAAATTATAGAACAGCAGATAGGAGAGAGGGGACCCATCTTGGGGTATACGTATCGGTGATTGACTTTGACAAAGCAATGAATCTGATTGTGAAACATACCAGCGGATAGCAGGAAACCGAACAATAACAAAAGGCAAGAGGCCCCATGGGAACTGGTGGGTTGCTTTATATACTGAATGTCATAGCAATAACTATCTCCCCTAGATCTGTAATTCAGCATAGATGGTGTCACCAGTATAAGATAAACTAATTATGGGAGGCAGAAACAAGTTGAAACTCCAAAAATAGAGCTTCTTGCTCTTGCTGAAAGCTGCAATGGCCAAAGAAGTTCCAGCTGAGGATTCATGGGAAGAATCACTAGATTTTCTGAAAGGCTGGTTAAATTTGTGGAGAACTGAGTCCACCAAGAGGTAATACAGATCTAAGAGAAGGACTGAAAGGACACAGACAGCAGGGAGCAGAAAGGCGAGGAAAACGAGCCTTGCAAAGGAAATTCCAGGACTAGTGATGGCAATAACAGCACCGGCTCTGGCTGCCTTAGTTACTACTTTAAGACAGGAAAGGAGGAAATGGGAGGCGAGAAGACATCAGAAGAAGCGATGGGTTGGCACTGAAGGCCTTTTGGACTCCCAAAGTTTTACAGCAGGCAGGTGTAGCAGTGGGGGTCTAGAAACTTGGCCTGATAAAGTCTGAGAGGTTCTTTGTAGATCAATATAGAGCTGAGGTCTGGCCCGCCTCTCAAACTTTCATCTCCTTCAGATATGAGCTGACTTGGCTATCTTTTTATTTTCCTCTAGCAGCACATAGCTCTGCAGTCGCCTGCCATATGGGGTACTCAGAAACCGGTGCAGCCTAGGCAGCACTCACCAGCCTGGGGTGCCATGCCACACTGGGGGCTCACCACTACGTTGCTGTGCTGTGATGGGTCCAGCATCTTACCGCTGTGGCCTTGGCCGCCCTCACCTCCTCCCACAGGTCGCGCATCTCCAACTGCCCCACGTTGCCCTCTGCCCACCTCCCCAGCTCTTCTCTCACAGCTTGCAGACCCACAAGCCCAGCGTGAGCCGTGAGGGATTCCTGAAGGTACCTCACATCAACCGCACGATTTGTTCTGTTCCTTGGATCCCTGTCTGCATCTCCTGACAATCTTCCTTTTCTCCCCATAGGTGCTACCTTGATACTAAAATTACACTTTCTTGGTATAACCAACCTTATTTAAAATCAAGTTCAGCTCCCTGAAATAGTGACATTCATCCAAAAACCAGAACTTTTTAAAAACCCATGTTCTGCTCTTTCTATTTTCTGAGTCTTGAAGGAGATCTCAGGTTTCACATCTTATTTGGGAAAACGAGAACTTTTTTTTTTGAACAACCACTGAAATTCTCACCTAGTCACATGACTCTGAGAACTGGGGCTCAAGACATACCACAAGGCTTGTAACCAAAAGCAACCAAGTTCAAATCTGCAGTTCCTAAAAATATCAGAAAAAACAGAGTGCTCCTCAAGCGCCCTGGGCCAGTGCAGGAAAATGCCTCATCCCTCCATAAAACATAAATACAGCAGCCCATTTTTCTTCCAGCCTTTGCTCCTCTGGTCCTCTGTGGGAAAGTGGTGTCTGCCAAGGCAGCAGTCGGCACGTTGTCACCAGCAAAGCCTCCAGCAAGGACCTCATGATGACCCATATATCTCGTAGTAAGATAACGGTCCTGAAGGGGATTTTGGCAGAAAGGTGAGTCCATCGTCCTGGATGATGTTTGCCACAAATAGGCTTCGAGCCCTCCCTGATCCCTCTGGATCATTTGATACATCACTGTCAGATTAATTCAGCTGCGATGGATTCAGATCCTGGCTTGAGGCCAGGATGCGTTAACATATCTTCTCCCAGCCTTACTCCAAGCGTGGCACATTGGGATAGGGGTTTCATAGTCTCTAAATGACAGCATCCAGGAAAGGGGGAAGCCGGAGTTGATTAACTGAGCCAATTTTCTCCAAAGCAGCAGTGAAGGGGATCTCTCAGCCGGGAGCAGCCGGATGGTGGACCCAAGGGTGCTGGCTGGAGAGGAGGGTAAATAAAAGCCTGGGGCGTCACACATTTTTCTGTGCATCTTTCACCTACAGCTGGGACTCGACGGGGAGTAGCCAGCTTGCCTCTGAAGGGACGGGTGTGTTAGCACAGCATCCCAGCTCCCCAGTGAGCGACCGTGGAGCCAAACTACCGTTTGATTAATCAATCGTTCGATCCAGATCCCTGCCTCCCTCCACGTGCAATGAGTATGAGCCGAACAGCACGCACTCACGGCCTTCAAGGGCTGGCTTCGGCAGCCCCTGATAGCGCTGTTTATACAGCTTCCCAATGGAAACAATGTGGATTTTATTAAATGATCCCATTAATGTTTCTCCATGTTGTCATTGCAGACTTCAAACGATGATTTATGTTGGCTCGTAGGTCTTTGTCCTCACAGCCGCACCGTGAGTAGCATCCAAGGACAAAGCGTTCTGGGACAGGCCGGTGGGAGTCCTATGGCTCCAGCTGTGCAGTTGTGCCGAGGTCTGCTCCTCCAGTGCCACAAGCCCGGGAACGGAGGGAGACCACCAGCTGGCCAGGGACAACAGCAGAAGCCATATAGGCACCTGGGACCATCCTTCCCAGTGCAATTTCGTGTTAGCCTCCCATGCTGATGCCTTGACTTAAAGCAAGAGTCACACATGAGCCTGCATGATTGCAGGCAATGTCTTTGCCTGATCTGAAGTGGCACAGCCCCATTTATGTCAGAAAAATTGTACCTGCTTGTCCTATGCTGGTCCTTAGCCCTAAGAGGTATATTTATACTGTCAGGTTTTCTCCCCATATTTTGCCCCTTTTTCTTCCCCATCATTCTCTGACCAACTTGACCCTCAAAACTGTTTTGCCTCCTTGCTGCCTGCTGTGCATAAATACCAGTTTGCACCTGGGCCCCTCTCAGGAGTGAACCAAGTAATCCACTCAGCAGGGAAAACCCTGTGGTGGAGTAGAGGATTTGAGGAGGATGGAGTAGAGGTCCCTCTTCGGGACCTACTGGCCATAGACAGCCATTCTCCATGGCTTGGCCAAGGCGCTGGGGAAAAGCTTGGTGTGACTACAGCAGTCAGTATGGATGGATCTAGAAGAGCTATATATTCAGGCCAATTCTCTATATGTGCTTAGGGATGGGTCAGAAATGCTCCTCAGTAATGTTGCTCTGAAGCCTTTACAGCCCTTCCTGCCAAGGTAGCATTGCAGAAAGGCCATAGGCCAAAAGGATCACAACCAGTATATATGCATCATACCAAATCCTAGTGCTATCCCAGTGTTTCTGTTTCAAGTTCATTTTCTTCAAAGTGCTCACAGATCCACCTGCATCACTATGATGTTAGCTGTGTTTGATTTGGGTGCAGAGAGGGGGCTGGGACTCAGGTTTCAGATAGCTGAAGTGAAGAATTCCTGAGATATTGCTCCTCCTCCAAAGGAAAACAGGCTTTTTGCTGACAGGCACCACTTCTTTGTGTGTGCACAAGGACTTTGCTCTCAAGGCTGCATCCTCCAGAGAAGCATGGTGCTCCCACTGCCCCTTGAACGAACCATCTTGAGAGCTTCCCTCACGATGAGGGTTCTGGATGGAGAGTTACAAGCCCACATCCAGCAACTGCATGGCCATGTGCAGCTGCTGAAAAATTAGTCAGGGCAGTGTGTAGTTGGCTGCTTTTCACATACCCAGGCTGGCTGAGTGAATCTGCTCTTTACCCTCCTATTTAAATGAAGCCCCTGGCTGAAGTCTAGGAATATTTCTGTCCCATGGGACTCTCCCAGGGAAGATTTGGCTCTGTGGGGAATTGTAGTTACACTATAACGGATACTGAGAAGGGGCTCAAACCTCCTCTCTCTCACACACGTAAAGTTATTGTAACCACCATAAAAGAGAGCTTTCGAGCTTTTGGAATATAGACTGTGACTTTCCCCCGCTTTTGTCGGCACCTGCGTGCACCAAACAGACCTGCCCCAACATTGTAATAGCGAGTGCTGCAGGGAGAGGTTGTATTGAGGGGACTGCTGGGGGCCTGTGCAGGATACCAAAAGTGCAGCTCCATTTGTCGCATATTTTTCCTTTTAAAAATCACCTAAAGCAAAAAGCAAAAAGCAGAATGAGACCAAACGTTGCTATCTCCCGCTATCATCCCAGAGTGTTTCTAAGACCCTGCAGCATCAATGCGCTTTCCTTGCCCTGCTTTGGAGAGCTTGTGCTCCTGGGCTTAGCCCCCTCCCTGCATTTCTGATTTCTCCTGCATTTGCCTATTGCTCTCCTCAGGCCTTCGATGTATCAAGTACATCATCTAGCCAGCCAAGACTTCTCTGCTGCTACAAACCCAGGACCAAAAAGCAGGAGCTCGTAGCAGCGGCCAGGCCAGCCCTGCTGGTCCCGGCTTGCTGCAGCTGGAGCAATTGTCGTCAGCATGTGCATGAAGCCACCTTGCATGGGAGTCACCAGCACCCTGACCCTCTCAGACATCTGATATCAGTTGGTTAAGAGCTGAAAGCGCCCAGGGTGCCTACCTGGGCCCGTCCAAGTGGGGACAAACTGACGGTCATATCCAAAAAGGCCTGGAGGTGCCTGCCTGGGCATTGCAGATGAATTCCTTGCCCAGGCAGGGTGGCAGGAGGTCAGTGCCTCTCTGCAGGGTTTTGCAGAGATGTTTCTCCCGAGTACAGCATAACAGCTGCTTATTTTACTGTTGGTTAATGAAAACTCTAAAAACGGTAAAATAAAGTTGAAGGGAAGAATATATTGGAAAGGGCGTCATATGGCTGGCTGGGAAACGCACGGCTTTGAGCAGGGGCAGGGAGGGACAGGAAGGACATTCCTTTCCCGCTACAAATGGCTCATTGGTGCGAGGGGCTCAGGAAATATCCGACAGGCCTCCTGCTCACACCCTGGGGCCCGCAGCGACGGCCTCGCACTCAGGCAGATGCCGCATCATGGAGCAGCAGGTGGATCTGAGGCCACCACCATCGTCCGCTGAGGGCCAAGGTACCTGGATGGAGGCAGCCTGAGACTCAGATGCTCTGGCTGGAAAAAGTCATTTGAGCTTGACACAGGTGGCTGAATGCACCAGGCCACCGGTGCTGGCTGGGAGCTGGCTCGCTGCGCAGAGGAGGAGGGGAGGGGAGTGCAACACCACGGGGATGTGCTTCCAGCTCATGCCTGGATGCCTTCCTTTTTTCTGGGAAAAAGTGGAAAGGCATGGTTGTTTTGTGCTTTCACCCCAGAGCTGGGCTCTACCAGATCCTTCCCCACCTTGCCATGGGGTGCAGAGGACGGGGACCCACCTCAGTGCAGGGCCTCCAGCCCCAACTTGCAGCCTGTCTGTGGGTCCTGGACAAGTATCCCGAGACATTGTGCCTGCACAGACATGGGGCCCCTCAGCTGGGAGAAGAGGCAAGGAGAGGGACCCCAGCCTGACCTACCTGCTCCTACACCCAATGCCACCAAAAGTTAGGATCAGGTGATTCAAGTCTGCCAGGGTGGTTTTCTTTTTTTTTCCCTTCTTTACAAACGACTGGCTTTTCCTTTTGATAATTGTCAATTGTACTCATGTGCATTTGTTCCCTTTGAAGTCCCTTTTGTCTCCACATGTTTGCTGCTGCTTCAAGACATGTTTTTGTCCCAGATTGCTGAGGACACCCAAGAAGATTCAGGTTAGTGACATGGTCCCACAGCCCATTACCAGGTGCAAAACCACACAGCGATGGGCTCTGCTCCTTCCCAAAATAGTTTCCTGACAAGTGCCAACAGCACTCAGCTCCTG